GCCTGCACCGCGCTCAGCCAGTGAGCAGGAACCGGTCTCCACATGGGATCCGAACCCTCAGCAGGAGCGCCACCTTGCTCCCAAGCGGTGCACTCTCCAGTGCGCCACCGGGCCAGCCCTTAACCAAATTATAAATAAAGTGTTTGCATTTTATTTATTTTTATTTTTTATTGTTATTATTTTTTGTGGCTGGCTGGTAATAGGGATCGAACCCTGGACCTTGGTGTTATCAATACCATATTCTAACCAACTAAGCTAACTAATCAGCCCTGAAATGGATGCATTTTTTTTTCCTGGGCAGCTGGCTGGTAAGGGGACCCGAACCCTTCATCTTGGTGTTGTCAGTGCTGTGCTCTAACCAACTGAGCTTACCAGCCAGCCAGGACTTGAATTTGAAGTAGCAGAAATCTGAAAAAGGACTGGTTAAACCATAGGAATGAATCACGAATGGTGAAATTTTAGGTTTAAATGAGAGGAGTGCTCCTCACCCATACCATATTAGCTTTCTTAAGAGTAATAAAGTGAAAATAAAAATTCTCATCTCTTCTAGACTTCAGTTCCAAAGCTGTCATATCTACATAAAGTACTTAAGGTTATCTCATTATGTTTTAAAATATTTACTATTTCAGTTTTAACTGGGGATAATTTGAAGAGAATAAAATCAGAATGCCATGTAGCAAGAAACAGCAAGAATAAGGTTCCCTCATCTTGAGAAATTGCCAGCTATTTTTATTAATCTGTTGGTCATGCATTTTGAATTTATCCTTGGTATAAAGAGCTAATATTATCACCATCTTTGATATATATATTTTTTTTTTTGGTATTGGATTTGTACCAGTAATGTGCATTTTTTACAATGAATGAAACCAGCCAATAATTTCAAATGATATTCCATCAGTCTGTTATTTACAAATAGTTACTTAAAACAAATCAGATGGTAAAAAGCTTATATTATAATCCTATATATTCTATAAACTCTTCAGAATGTTTTCGATTGCTTAAGCTTTGAAAGCAACAGAACTCCCCAAGGGACAAATGGATCCAGAAGAGAAGCCTGGCTCTGACGTTCAGAGTGGGAGACGTTAGCAGACAGAATTCTGAGTCTCACCGGAAACTTCCATGCGCTTCATATTATGTGATTTCTTTACAGAAGAATTAAACTACAAGATAATCAGGGCTCTACTATACGTACAACAGTTTTGACTACCCTTCTTATGCTGGGAACAGCCAAAAGAAAAAAAAAATAGGGACAGCATTGAAGAGGTCATTCCTTTTTCCTTTTTGTCTTTTTTCATGTCCGGCAACGGATCGCAACCCTCAGTGTCGCGCCCGTACCGGACCGGGACCGGCCACGGGATCGCAACCCTCGGTGTTGCTCCCGCACCTCGCTCAGCCAGTGAGCGGCCGCAGCGCTTCCCAAGCGGCGCACTGTAGCAGTGTGCCACCGGGCTGGCCCCAGAAGAGGTGTTCTTATTGTGCTGTTACTGCTTCAGCTCATTTCCTTGATTTTGTGTTCTTGAGTCATGCATTTGTAGAACACCCGTTTTAAATAAATATTGAAACTGTATTGCTTCATGCATATTATTATTTACACAGTTGAATAATTATCAGGGGTTGTTATACTTTGAAAAGTACAGCTTTTACTCTTTATGTTGCCATTCAAAATCTTGATAATTTTTCTTTTGCTGTGTCGACCTACAACACTGGGGGAAAGAGAGAGCTGCAGAAATACCTGTTTTATGAATTATATAAAATTATAAACGTGCGTTAGAGCCCAAGAGCTTTACTAGCCTTTATTTAAACAATGAATTTAATCATTCTATTTTTAAAAATGCTTTCTAGATACTAAATTTCTGCACTAAGCACCATTAACAAAT